AACAAAAAAATCTGACTAATTGACTAATTAAATACATATCTGGCTTCTAACTAAAAGACTCATTTACTAACTAACCAAATTAACCGACTGACTCGCTAATTGACTTGCCAACTAATCAATTAACTGACAAGCTAACCAACAATCTGATTTACAAATTGACAAACTCAATAACTAATGGACTCATTGACAAACTAACTAACTAACTAACTAACTAACTAACTAACCAACCAACCAACCAACCAACCAACCAACCAACCAACCAACTAACTAACTAACTAACTAACTAACTAACTAACTAACTAACTAACTAACTAACTGCCTACTGACCTAAATACCTAACTGGCTTCCGACCTAAATAAAAGATTAATTGACAAATGACAGGTTAATTAGCTTTCTAACTAACTAATAATGTTGGTACCTTGCTGTCTCATTTTGCTCCGTGAGTTAATCTTTTTTCCAGCACGTGATCATCAACATCCTATTCAGTGCGCATGGGTTTTTATTCTGCAATGAACATTGATGATGCAGGCCAGACTGTGTCACAAGTCAACATCACCTCTGGTCATTTCCTCTCATTAATGATAGAAAGTGTAATTGATCAATTTGACATGAAATTGACTCGATATTTAGAACACGCGCTAGATTGACATAGATGTGGCAATGCTCTCTGGGTCTAAATTAGAATAGAAGCTGGAGTTCTTATGTTATTGCAAAGCAGGACGTTTTTCCTGGAGAAAAGAAAACCCAAAAAGGCGCACCCAACGCAGTGTGGCCCGACAACTGGGCGCGACAGTACAGTAGACGTGCATGCAGATAATCCGGGCCAACCTGGAGCTGGGCCAGCAGCGGCTACTTGATATTCTCCTTCTACTCGCGGCAGAATTACGAGTGACGGGATGAGAAAAAAAGAGGAGGAGTGGGATGAGGACAAAGACGACTTTATAAAAAGAGACTCTGAGAGCAGGAATGCTTGACTGACAATGAAGTAATCTTCCAAACAGCAAGAATCAGGACAACATTTGTATTCTGCACATTGATCCTGTCAGGGAAGCGGCCGGAGTCAATAGACGGGTTTGTTAATTCATTGCAGTGCACTGATAATAGACCTCGAGAGCTGATAACGTCTTGCACAGGAAATCAAGCTGTCTAAAAAACAGCCGTGTCTATGTGCCAATACTTCCTTCTAATGGCCAAAATGTAACCGGTTACTTTTTTTTCATCCCAGAATTGAAAACATCCATGAAAATAAAACAATCAAACAGCGGTAGACGGTGTATGTTTTAAAGTCATTGTTCCAAGCTTAAAGCAAAACGAGACAAATGCTGTTCTTTGACAGTAAAAGGAGCTTGAAAACAGCTTTACTGTTGCCACCTTCAAGTTGAAAACAATCATCACTCTAAACAATCATCACAGGTCTGAAGTGTTGCATTTATAATGCTAGGGAACACAATTTTGGTAGAGTTTGGTCTGACGTCTGTTTTAAACAAATTTTTTGGGTGCGGAATCAAAATCTCTATATGTCAAGTTTTTCAGCTATAGGATCCCATCCATCCATCCGTTTTCGAATCCGCTTATCCTCATGAAGATCATGGATGTGTTGGAGTCTATCCCAGCTGTCTTCAGGCAGTCGGCGGGGGACACACTGAACCGGTTGCCAGCCAATCGCAGGGCACACGTAGACGAACAACCATTCGCTCTCACAATCACATCGAGGGACAATTTGGAGTGCCCGATCAACCTGCCATGCTTGTTTTTGGAATGTAGGAGAAAACCCAGGCACTGGGAAAACTTGAAAACTCCACTCCAGGGCTGAAAATATTTTGTTGATCAACAGCCAATGTGGCTGGTGACTTTCCAAAGTTGCCAACGAATCCGAATTTCCACCAGCCAATAGTTTATTTATTTATTTTAACGATCTCCCTCACACTATCTGTTTGTTTCTTGCACTGGTTGCAACGTAGACAACTTCATGAAAAGAAGTTCACATATGAGTATACACTGATGGGCTAACTTGCGTGTGGACAGACAAACAGACAGATTAGCAGCAGGTACACTGTGTGTTTGCGACTACAGATGACAATATGCTCGCTTTCAATAGAAAATGCTGTATCAACATATGCTAATGTTAGCTGGTTATTTGGATTTGAGTTTTCTCACCGTTTTGTTGTTAGATGCATCAATATTGGCAATAAATGTATTTTGTTGTTTAAGTCACCCTGTTATGACGGGTAGTTCAGCTACTGTAGGTGGTGTTCAGATGGTTCGGTTGGGGTTCGGGTGGTTCAGATGGTTCGGTTGGGATTCTCGTGGTTCGATTGGGGTTCGGGTGGTTCGATCAGGGTTAGGGTACTGTACAATTTCTTTTAATCTTTAAAATACTTTTGTCTTTAAAGGGTCATCTTGTCCTAAAATTTCATTTCTTGAACTCAATGCTTGAAATACGAAGTTCATGATATTACATCTTTGTTTGAAAATTATGACTTCATTCTATTTTTATACCGGCAAAATATGTCTTAGTCCTTGTAAAGATTATGACTTATTTTCTCAAATGATTTGTTATTCCTGCATTGCGCAAATGAAATGTCCTGGTGTTTTATAAGGAATGGACAACAACAACGTTGATGAGGATCCTCGTGGCCGAACAGCTGCAGGCCTGATAGATGAAGACAGTCGTCCTTTAGCACATCCCCCTTACGCCAATTAGCATTTGTATGAGGAGCCTGTCACCTTTCCGTGCAGCTGCATCCTTGTTGGCTGGTCCCTAGCAACCGCATCACAACTAACACGCCGATATCAACGGAGAGAATGACGCAAAGTGTTTTTTGAGGGTCCAAATTGCATCTTTTTCTCCACACAGTGGATTGTGTCGTGACAGGCCGATCAAAGTGCATTGCCAACGGCAACAAGAAGAGCAAGGGTTTTTTATTATTTTATTTATCCCACGCGTTTTCTTGCTTGTCTGTCAGATCTCTCTGAGAGGAGCCC